CGTCAAGTTGAACCTCCCGTGGGAAAGCAATGAGTTGCTTGCAAACTTATTTTGAAAATGACCTTTTGACTTAACTTCTACTTCTAGAAACATCATTGAAAGATGTTCATTATATATATATTAAATAACTATCCACCATTTTTTAAAAAAATAAGAAATGAAAACAAACTAAACTAACAAAGTAACAAAACAATTTTTAAAAAGGAAGAAAAACTCTGGAACATGTGTAACGCAAATTTTATAATAAAATGAAAAGAAAAGGTTCAAAACAATTTTATATTTTTTAATTCGAAAATTCTAATTTTTCTTTTAATCTCTTCTTACAAATAATCACGAAAAAACGCAGGACCAAGACCAAGCAACCGTGACGTGCAATAACACTACACGCAGCACGAGCACGCTCTTCCTATGCTGGGACCCACCATAACCAATTATATTGAAACACAAATAGATGAAAACTGCCCCATATTGCCCTTTCCCACACAATAATAATAATGATAATGCTAATATTTCCATTATCGTTACCCTAACATAATTGTTCTTAAATGCCAACCTGCATTCTAGGATATAATAAAGTCCGGTTGGATAACAATTTTTTTTATATATATATATATATATTTTTGAAGGTTTTTATTTAGTGCATCTTCACCAACTTTATAATACATTTGAAATTCAATCAAATTTTTAAAGACATACACGTTTTCAAAATTACTTCTTTTGTTTTTTAAATTTTTAAAAGATGACTTAAATTTTAAAATTTATTTTAGAAAGAAGATAAAAAAAACAGAAATAGAAATAGAACTAGTGTTGATTAAAAAAAAACAGAAATAGAAATAGAACTTGTGTTTATAAACTAATTTTTGAAAATAAAAATAAAGAATAAAATGGTTATCAAATTAGTAAGCATGGTGATATGAAGAGGGGAAGGTATAAAAAAATTTGATGCTAATTATACTTTTTTTTTTATAATTTTAAGAATTTAGTTTATAATCCCATCAAATCTAACCTTCAAAGGAATTTTGACTGATTTGTGTGGTGAGTTTTGTAGGGGACACGAAGAATTAACGACCCGCATTTTGTGAGAGTATAAGGTAACAAAACGGTTTTGGAGCCTACCACTAAATCCTAATGTTTGCCTTTTTAATATTGAAGGGAGGCCAAAACGAACATAGTTCAACGATAATTGGCATATACATCCAATCGAGAGGTTGTGAGTTCAAATCCCCTCTACAACGTGTTGTACTAAAATATTGAACGGAGAGACGGACACATATGGTATTAAAGAGCTAAAAGTGTGGGTGATTTGGAATCTTAGAAACAATGTCGGTGTTTAGAGGAGAAAAGCCTAATTCATTAAATTTTATTTGGGCAGGCCATAAAATTCATCACAAAAAATAATAACAGGAAAGCAACGGATTCATTGCATCGCAACAACAGCAGAATAATTCTAAGGAACGTTCAAAATGGGTACCTCCCCCAAATTTATATTATTAAAAGTTATGGGAGGAGCAATATAGAGTTTAATATAAAATATATATATATATATATATTATTTGTGCATTTAATTAGATAAACTATTTGTCGTTACTTTATGGTTTATTTATAATTTTAATGAAATAGACTTTGAGTCGCGGAGATTCTCAGTTTTTTTTTTTTTTCAAAAATACAAGTTGCTGTTAATTTTCTGCCTTTATTTTAATTAACCCCTCAGCTCAGCCAATAAAAGCCCAACTTTGACTCTTTTTAAATTAAAAATTTAAATACTATTTTAGTATTTATCGATTTAACTACTATCGTTGTTTTAAAATATAATTTTAGTATTTATCAATTCGGTCTCTATACTCGAAAAAAGCGACAATTTTGATTCTTTTATTTCTTATAATAAAAATTTCAATATAACACTCCATTCAATAAATTAATTTCTTGAAATCTAATCATAATGATGTATTAAAGAGGTTCCTTAGATTTAGATTTTATGGTAAAATTATATAAATAGGGACTAAAACGACAATTTTTTTAAATTAAATAAATCTTATATGTGATTGTCAAGTCATTGTCAATTCTAAACATTAATATTTATTTTTAAATTTTCTTCTAAAATTAATCTTGCCTTAGGTTTTTCTTTTAAATAATCTGATAAAAAAAGAATATATGATTTTCTAAGTACAAATCTCACAAGTCAAATTATTTTAAAATCTTTTTTTTTAGTTAAAAAGTTGGATCTCTAAACTAAAAAAAGGTATTATTGTAATACTTTGTTTAAAGCAACTTTAATTTTTTTTGTCAATATCTAATTAAACTCCTTTTTAAATAACAGAACTCCGCCATGACCGACGCTGCAATTTGCAGAATTTCCAGAGGATAATGGTCATTGAGGGAAACGATAGAACAACAACGAATCGATCTAAGCTTTTCGATTAAGAGTAGTAGAGAGAGAGAGAGAGAGAGAGAGGAACGTGCCTGGAGTTCTGTAGTGACAGGATACTCATCCATATCGACGTAATTCTTGTTAATGGCGGCCATGATGAGTTTATCGCACTCAGGCTCCATCCAAGTGGTGACAAAGGAGGCCAAGTTGAGCCTAGGGTTTCCATCGAGCATGAGTTCGTCGTTGATGATCTGGTACGCGGCCTCCTTCGGAATCGAATTTTCCGGCATTTTGAATCTGCGGAAAACAGGACAATCAAATTAATCCGATCCGGATCATGAAGCACAAATCAAATCGCACACAACCAGTGATTTCGATTTCGAGATCTAATCGAACGGAAAAAACAAAACGAAGGACAGATTGAATGGATCAGATCAGTGATTAATGGATGATTACCTCGGGAGAGAGGTGCGGACATAGCGAGAAGCGAAGGTGGAGTGGACGGAGACGTCGGTCTGAGAGGCAGTCTTGGAGAGAACCATAGTTGATGAAGCGGGAGATTGCAGAGAGAAATGAGAAGTTATGAATGGAGGATGGGATGAGGAAGAGGGAGAAGAAGAAGGGGGCTTAATATAGAGTGAGTTTTGGTCAAACTATGGCGCCTGGACCTCACAATGGAAAATGCGAAGGGTGCTTCCGACCCCAGTGGCGTTCTCTGTGGTCCCTTCTTCCTTTCCTTCTTGTTTTTTTATTAATAAATATATATGTTGGACGTGAAACGGGATGGAGTTTAATTAGAAATAATAATTTTAAATGTTTACCTTAATCTTAAACCACGGTTAACTTTTTTAATGATGATAAATAAGAGAGTTTTAAAAAGTCCTTCGAGCTACTAAAAGACCAGCCAGCGAAAAATTTACCTGCTCTTTATTTTTTTTTTTTTGAGAAATAGAAAAATATATATTTTTTCTACGTGTCTCTCGTTTACTTTGTCAAATATTATGGTGGTAAGCAGAAGATGAATGTTCACCGATAGATTAAGATACCTAAATATTGTTCTTTTCATCCATAGAGTAGTTCATCTGAGGGCGCGGAGGTTAGGGACTGAAAGAAGTCTCCATCACAAGGCACAGTGAGGCCGATGTCATGATGGAACCCAAATTCCATAGCGGCTTATTTGAAGCAAGCTTTGTTCTTCGGCTAGAGAAGTTTGAATTCTCTAAGCATCAACTTTCGAATGGCTTTCTAAATATATCTTCGTTTTTCTGTTTGATAAGTGGAAGGCACCAACGGATAACCTTTGATTTCAAGGATAAAATGAAGTTTAATTCATGTTAATTTGAGAGTTAGTCATGCAAATAATGTCTATTTTATGCATCCATCATGTAGTTAAATTTGTGAATATTCATTGAGCATACTTCCTTCTTGCATAATTTAGTAGAATTCCAATTAATCTTACTCACATAATTATATATTTTTTAGAAATTGAGGAGTTAATGAATTGCATCGAGGAATATAGATATTTTGAACCATCACACCCACGAAGAAGTAGAGAAGTAGAAGAAATTAGAGACTAAAACCCGAGGGAACAACGTTGAGACGCTGTTATTGGCATCTCCACACCATCAGTAATCAATCAAGTTATATCATCTGATTGGTAGCGTCTCATTACTGCCCTTGAGTGTCTTAACACTACGAACAGTACCCAAGATCAATGCACGAATATTTTTGTAGCTTCTCAATACTATAAAGTATACTCTCCACCTATTAGGGTACAACGTTTCAACGTTGTCCCCTAGCGTCTTAAGGTTATTGGAATTCGATTTTGGAGGGCAAGGAGACTATAAAGAAGCCGATGAAAGGAATTTCAAGGCTCGTACTTGTGGAGATTGACTTAGGGACGATCAATCGACACAACAGATTTAGTTTCTCTCATTTCCCAACTTTTTCTAGTTTTAATATGAAATTTTCGTTAGGATTTTCCTACACTCTTATGAACATGAATAGCTAAACTAATTGTCTTAGGAATTAATGTAACCACTGAATTTATTGAGTTGGATGAATTAATTTTACTTGATTTGTTTGTTCTTAATCTATTTGTTTAATATTTTAAATCTCTCGATCACAAATTAATTGTTTCTAAATCTGAATGAAGATGTGAGTTAGATTGAAGCTTGAATGCATGATTGAGGTAGTTATAAGATTTATAAGATTTTGGGAGATTTAGGAGTGCTCTAAAAGTTGTAAAAGAAATGAACTTAAAAGGCCTTTGCTTGCTAACAAAATTGGATAGGGATATTAATAAGCAAGAAAATTAATTGTACTCCGAAAAGGCGGCTATGATACATTGTTTCTTTGACTTATAGATTAATTTTTTTTGTCAATCTTAACATGTTTAATTTATCTACTCGTAAATTTAATTAGTGAAGTCAATTCCCTAAAGCTCTTTTATCTAGACTTATCCTTAGCTTTTATTGCTTGCATTTGATTTTAAAACTTGTTATTTCTATAAATAAAATCAGGCATTAGTATTCGTAGTAATTTAGTGGATTAGAAATTTAGTTGATATTATTTTATTATAAAATATTATAAATTTATATTTAATTTTTTAATTTTACGTTATTATTATTAATTAATATCAATAAATTTTCTAAAATATATTTCATTATTATTAAATATTGGAATTATAAATTAATAATATTTTAAATTAAATGATAATTGTTTTAATAAAACAGTCCATAGTAATTTTATTTTATTAATATTAAATAAATTATTATAATAAAAAAAATATTTACTATCAATAATAATTAGTAATAAAATAAATTAAAATTTACTTTCTTTTTTATTAAAAAAGATTAGCATGTATTTTTAATTAACTAGAAAGATAAAAGGAACAACATTCTCTTCTGATTCCTTTCCGATTAAATTGTTAGTTTTAGAAACTTTAAGATCAAATAGAACTAATAAGAGACCACACATGTATTTTACCTTTAATTATATAATACAATTACAAATATCTTTTCATGTTAATTAGATCATTTTTAATGGGGAGGAAAAACATTTGTCATATTTGTAAATACAATGGCAACAAATTTTTAACAATTAGTTTTTTGTTATTTAAATTTTATTAACTATATCATACTAATGTAGTCCATATATACTTATATGAAGTATACTAGTCACATTAAATATATGAAAGATATATTTCAGGTAAATTACCGATAAATCTTCTTCAGAATGGAAGACTCTAGTTCAAGTTGATATTGTTTTCTTATTGATATATCTAAGTATACAATGATATATCAATAATATGATTAACATGTCCATACGAAATATATTATTGATATACTTGATATCAAGCATATCACCCTGCGAATTTTTCTAATTTTTCGTAAACAGCCCATCTTAAGCTAAGGTACAACCGATAATTCCATTCTTTTCGTTCGGGTTGGACCTCCGTTTTTTGCTATTTTTGCAAATCAGAAAAGTAGTGGTTATATTTGCAATTAACTATCAATCACGTCTCTTTGGAACAGTGTATATATGTGATTAAAAAAACTTGCAATTTACTTTGTCTTAATATTCTCTCTACTTTGTGTAAACATTATTAGTCAGTTTCATGTTTTAATTGTCCAATTGAGAGAATGCCTAACTTTGAAGCTGATCTTGGTGTTACTTTAATCCTATCTGTAAATATTCAACCATGACATATGTAACGTGTTACACTCTATTAGTGTGTCAAGCCTATCTATTATTATTTAATTGTATATTTAATGATTTCTAAAAAATATATATATATTTAATGTTGGGACTAGATGCATAAATATAATTCAAATTGATTAAAGTATATATTCCCAATGTAAAGACGTGGGTTCTAAATCTTGTAATCTCCAATGTTAAGACAACTCACAAAAATGTAGGTCTCGACGTTAGTTGGTCGGGTTGGGTTTTTCATACCATTTCAAGTGAAGGGTATTTGGGTATATTTAAAGGCTAGTTTGATAATTTTTGTTAGTTATTTGTTAGAAATATAAGGAGTCATCTAGTAGCGTTTTAGTTTCTTTGTAATAGAACTGTGTTTTGTAATTATTTTTTGTTTCTTGTTTTCTTTTTTATAGGAAAAAAACAAAATTCTGTTGGGTGGTTTCTTGCTCTCTAAAATTTTAAATGAAAAAGTAAATACTTTTATATAAAATTTAATTTTTTAAATTAAATATTCAAAACTTTCCTATTATATATATATTTTAAAGATTTATTTTACATTTTATTATTCAAGGATAAAATGATTTTTTTATTTATGTTTTGGAAAAAAAATGAAAATAGAAATAATAAACAAACACTTGATTTTGTTGTCTCTAGAATTTCTATACAATTTTAGAAACGTTGAACTAGTAACAAGTACCAAACATTTATGTTTTTCAAAATTTGGAAATGAAAAACAAGAAGGAAGAAACGAAAACATTATGAAATGTGTCCTAAAAGCCACGAAAAAATGTTGGCATTTGTCACACACCTTTGAATATATTTCATTGGATCTATTTGCATGCTCGGCCAAGTACCTATGGGTAAGGCTTCGAAGCTAAGGAACATGCTCTAATATGAATAATTATATTTGTAATTATGTTTACAATAATAATTAAGTGTTTATCCATCAACATCCGAAAATGTTATCTATTCTCTAGTACTCTCTCCATCCACACCATAATATTTTATTAATAAATAATTCTTTAATATTAGTAGACCTCACATCATTTTCAAACGATAGCGACGTGACACACAATAAATGATAGATTATATTACGTACCTAGTATAGGAAATTTTTCCATCCATACTTATGATCGCTTGTTTACTACCATTAAATTTTTGATAAATAAGAAGAGAGATGTAGTAACGGTAACAAGTTAGGTTGGGAATAATCTCTTAATTTCCATTTTTCAACCATGCAGGAAGTTATAATCTCCTTCCCTGTCCCATATTCTCTCTAATTTACTTTTCTAGAACTATGACGGGTCCAAGGAATAATTAACAATGATTGAACTAAAATTAATAAAAAAGATTAAAAAAGTTAAATAGTAACCAATAGCTTGTTGGTCCATTACGAGAATAATGTAGTTTTAAAAACAAATTACAAAAATAATGTAGATTTAAAAGTAATAAAAAAATAAATTTAATTTAAAAAATTACAAAATTAAATTAGGCATCCAAACTATAGACAAAAATAGGTTAGATGTTGGTCGAAGTAAAAAATAATATACAATAGATATGATTTTGGTACCAACACATCATGTATGATCGAGTTGGAATTTTTTAGATGAGTCAGTACGTAAAATTGCCTACACGGTACGCGATTTCCATTTAGGAAAGTCACGTACATTGTACGCGATTTCTATTTTCAGAAGTGGTTGCTTAGATTGTACATAAAGTTGAAACATAGCAAATTATTTAGTTAATAATAGTAATTTGGTCATTGGTTTCTCTTTCATCTTATCATCTTCCATGTACCATTTAATCTCACTTTCTCCATTTCTTTTTATTTTTCTTTTTAAAATATATTTCTTATTTTCCTTTTTTAATATATTTGGTTTTCAAATATTGGTTTTTTAGAAAAATGTATTTT